GACCCAGACTGTGGGGGCGATATGCTGACTCTGTAAACCGCTTAGAGAGGGCTGAAAGCCCTATGAAGCGGTATATAAGTCTAACTGCTAACTAAGTTTGGCCTTGACAGAGGGGGAAAAAACGTCAATGTGGATCTGATAGCATTGAGTCAAGTAGCATGAAGAAGGGTCACTCAAATGTCAAGGGCACGTCACTATCATTCCTAAATGCAGGACACGGTGTTACGTTCTCACATTTCAGGAGACTGAATCCCTCCCTGATGGATGTTGACTCCTAAAACCAACTCAAGTTCAATCAACTCATCTGGGGAGACGGTGAAATCCCTTCCACTGAACATACTCAGGAAGAATCTAAACCAGCGTTTCTCCCCCTTGAACTTGAAGAAGTGTGGACTTAAATTGCCAGAATTCTAGTCCCACACCTTGCTCAATCATAAAGTCGTAGGGCCGGAAGTGACCTCAGAGGTCTTCTAGTCCAACCACCAGCTCAATCATTGAAACATAGGGCTGGAAGCGACCTTGGAGGTCTTCTAGTCCAAACCACTGCTCAATCATAGAGTCACAGGACTGGAAGGGACCTCAGATGCCTTCTAGTCCAACACCTTGCTCAATCATAGAGTCGTAGGGCCGGAAGTGACCTCAGAGGTCTTCTAGTCCAATCACCAGCTCAATCATGGAATCATAGGGTTGGAAGTGACCTTGGAGGGCTTCTAGTCCAAACCCCTGCTCAATCATAGAGTCACAGGACTGGAAGGGACCTTGGAGGTCTTCTAGTCCAACACCTTGCTCAATCATAGAGTCACAGGACTGGAAGTGACCTTGGAAGTTTTCTAGTCCAACACCTTGCTCAATCATAGAGTCATAGGGCCAGAAGTGAGCTCAGAGGTCTTCTAGTCCAAACCACCAGATCAATCATTGAAACATAGGGCTGGAAGCGACCTTGGAGGTCTTCTAGTCCAAACCCCTGCTCAATCACAGAGTCATACAGCTCGAAAGGACTTCAGAGGTCTTCTAGCCTAACTCCTTGCTCAATCATAGAGTCATAGGGCTGGAGGGGATCTCGGAGGTCTTCTAGCCCAAATCCTGCAACCTCTGTGTTGCTCAGCAGATGGCCAATGAATCAGAAAGACCATCTCAAACACAAACCTTTAAAGGAGAAAAACAGAGTGAAAGAAAAGATCCAAAGAATGGGTATTAAGAAACCCGACAGATTTTCACCCTCCTTTGATGGAGGCCGCCCTGAGCTTCTTCAACTTCAAGTATCAAGAGAGAAAACAGAATCTGTCTCAAATGTACACCTCTGTTGGGCTACCCACCAGCCACATTAACATCAGCTGCTATATATATATATATATATATATATATATATATATATATANGGAATTGTAGCCCACTAATCTGAGTTTGCCCTTTCTGTCTGGCTCCACCCATTCCTTTCAGGACACTGCTTGAATTCCAACATGGCTGGCTGAGGAATTCTGGGAGTTGGAAGCAGGGGTGGGTTCTGACAGAGACTTTTGCCGGTTTGCTCAGGGGCGTGCAGTGTGTGCGCTTGATGCATACATGTGCCGTACAGCTGAAATTGCTCTGCGCATGCGCCGAAGCAAAAAACATGGAGGTACCTACAGGAGAACCGGTTTGGGGGTGTGGCAGGCCTGGGTTGCTGCCGGTTCCAGTGACCCAGGTCACCAAACTACTACCAGTTCATCCAAACTGGTCCAAACCGGTAGGAACCCACCACTGGTTGGAAGTCCACAAGTTTAAATTTGCCCAGTTTGGAGACCCCTGTACAACGACATGGAGGTGTGGGCTTCAAAAATTGAAGCAATGGGTTTGCTGCCCTGTTGCTGGGTGGGCGTGGCCATAGTGGGCGTGGCCTAGCCAGCCTCCTGCACCAAGGCAGGGGGAGTTTCACACTCCCCAGGCTCCGGAGGGTTTCCTTGAGCCTCCAGGAGGGCGAAAACTGCTTTCCCCGGGCTGAGGAGGCCCTACAGAGGCTGGAAACAGGCCCATTTCCAGACTTCTGGAATGTCCGGTAGGCCCATTTCCCCCCCTTACCAAGTCTCCACTCAGGCCCTGCAGGAACGAGACTTCTAGGCAGGGCCAGCCAGGGGTGGCATTTGGGGGTTCACCGAATTGGGCAGAATCCTAGCTAGAGGATTGACCAAATTCGTGCCGAACCCCAGCAGCCCACCCCTGACGACATCATGGGACACTCATCTGTAGAGACCGTACCAAGAAGATGTGGGACGATGTCGGTCCTGATACTTATATGAAGCCCAAGGTAGAATTCTCTAGTAGAAGATTCCACCAAGCCATCTTTTGTTCCCATACAATAAAGTGGGGGTGGGGTGTCAAAACGCTGGAAGAACCCGTCTTACTTTTGAGCGCTGACGTGATAAGAGAGCAAGCGGAAGTTCCCATCGGGAGGGATGAAGGACAGGATGCGTTCCGATTCCCACCGCTTGAAACGCACACAGGGGTGGAAGCTGACATCGTCCAACAATCTTGGGTTCTGAAAAGAGGAAAGAGGAAAGAGCTGGAAGCTCCTTGGCTGGTGGGGCTTCTCCACCTTGACGATTTTAAGACCTGGGAGACTTCAACTCCCAGGAATTCCCCAGCTGACAAAGCTTTACTGGCTGGGGAATTCAGGGAATTGAAGTCTTAAAAGTTGCAGAGAAGAAGGAGGAGGAGGAGGAGGAGACGAAGGAGGAGAAACAGGTGGAGAAGGAGGATGAGAAGAAGGAGAAGACAACAACCTGTGCTCTGGTTTTACTGCTTTATACCACTGATGGGAAGATTTGACCAGTTTCCTATCTTGGATACTCGCACTGTGATGGTTGGCTACAGAAGGGCAAGCCAGGGAATTTGTCAAAACGGGTGGGTGAGAGGGGTCTTTCTTTCCCCTCTCATTTTTACCATGAAAGAGAGGGTGAGGTCCGGCATCCCAGTCAATTTCACGCAGGCATCGATCACCCCTTGGATTTCAGCTGTAATTGTGGAACCTGCCACACACACACAAACAAACAAATAATTCACATAGTTCAGGAAAGACATTGGGGCTAGTCTACACAATCCTAGTTACAGGTAGTCCTCAACTTATAACCATTCATTTAGTGACCGTTTGAATTTATAACGGCACTGAAAAAGTGACTTAGGGACCATTTTCCACACTTAGGATGGTTGCAACATTCTCGAGTGATCAAAGTTTGAACACTTGGCAACTGTCTCATATTTATGACATTTTCAATGGCATCTCCATAGACATTTAGAGACTGAAAACTATATCAATATATCAATATCAATACCTACCTACCTACCTACCTACCTACCTACCTACCTACCTACCTACCTACCTACCTCTCTCTCCCCCCTCCCTCCTTCCCTATCTATCC